ATCTTATCCTAGTTCCTTAAGGATCTATGGAAACGCGTTGACCCGAACCTAATAAAAAATAATAACCGGACAAACTCCCATGACTCGGCATTGAATTATCACGTCCGATTCAATTGGCCAATAGATATTGAGTCGCAGAAAATTCTCATTGCATTTAAATCTAACATATACCTAATGCATGTACAGATGAACATCGTGACACTAACGATTTCGAATAAATCGAAAGGGATTTGCTGTACAATGAAAACATTCAAACAAATGTTGCTTGGTTTATAGAGTCACATATAGTGCTCGAATCTGTTTTTTGTTTTTCTACCTTCCATTGAGATATGAGTCAGTTTTTTAAATCTATGCTTTTTCACAAATGAAATCAGAATTTTGCTGCTCAACATAAAAATTCGAGATTTAATTACTTTTTCAGTAACCTCGTAAAATTTCTAAAATTTTACACACTGTTTTATTGATTTAATGTCTAATAACTGTGAAAATTCCAATGCTTTCTCATTGTTTTTATTTAATGGTATATACAACCTTAAGTCTTTTGTGACACAATACTTTCTAACTCAATATATAGTCCTCTATTCAAATTCCATGAAAAATATGTGTCATTCCATATAAAACACTAACTGTGACTTCTGACATCTCGATAAAAAAGCAAAGAAATGAAAACCGGACTTCAGGCGCATTTCAAGCTATGCAGTATTTGTTTGAAAGTTTTTATCGTACAACAAATGCCTTAGATTTATTCGAAGTCGTCACGGGACGTACCCTGTATACATTCTTAATTCTTAAGAAACGAAATGACTAAACACCGATAGTAAAAACAACGGCGCAAGTATACACGCACGGAATCGTCCCGCGTTGACGCGTAAAAAAAGTAGAAAAAGAGAAATATTCGCGAAACGTGCGCGTCGTCGAGCACACGTATCGTGATATAAGGAATTTCGCAGGCTGGTTTATTAGATTCGGGACCGACGAGGAGGGGAGGGGGCGAGAAAGCGGCAGCTTTACGCGGGAGCGAAAAAGTTGCCTCGAACGGAACGGAGGAGCCGAGGCACGTGAAATATGAATACGTTTCGGTTGATTTGTACCTCGCGTCTCCTATTTCGCCGTTTATTCTAGCGGAGGCGGCGAGAACTCGTCACGTAGCGCTGCAGCCGAAACGTGCTTCAATTCTCACTTGCGAACAACGCGTCACGCGAGCATCGTCGGTTGACAACGACGACGACGACGACGACGACGACGACGACGACAACGGCTAGCACACGGCAGCGTCTCTTTGTCGAAACTTGCCGGGGGATGTTAACAACCGGTGTCCTACCGCGAAAATGAAAATGTATTCCCGCGCGTCTGAAGTTCCTTCCTCGAGCTATTTAAACCTGGTTATAAATGCATTCGATAGAAAGATGCGAAACGTTGATACGAGTTCACGAGAAGGAGAACAAGCGGATGATTTCCAGCTTTAATAAACCTCGACTTCAGAATTCCATAACGTAAAAATTAGAAAGGAATAAATATTGTACAATAATTGCAAGAACGGTTCAGTTTCTTTTTTCTAACACCTCTTGATCGTTCCAAGACCGTTATTGTTGTAGGAGGTAAGCTGTCTGGCGAAGTTTAAATCTAAGTAAATAAGTCGAAAGAAGGAGAATAAAAAAAAAAGGAAATAAGGAGAGAATAGGAAAAAGAGTAAAGCTTTTGATGTTTAGAGCAACGGAGTCACGTAGTATTGCAGCGAGAACGTGCTTCAATCTTCGGTAGAAGCACGCATTGCCGTTCCGCGCGAACTTCTCGGGGAATTTTAACAACCGCGGACTAAGCTTTCATAGAAAATATGGACAGCTAACCGGTACGCGGACCGAATTAAATACTACGAAATCATAACGAGCAACTCCAGCGTTCCATTAAAAAACGACCGATCGAAGGGAGGAGGCTCGGTCCACGTCCGGACACGGGAGAGCGAGCGAGCGCGGTAAATTTGAATTGCAAAAATTTAATTACCGAGTCCACGGCGACAAAGGGGAATTGGTCTTTTGACACGAGCGCGGAAAGAAGGAAAGATACGAACTTTATTTTTTTCCTCTCGCTTCCCTCCCTTTTGCTCTACAGTGAAACGAGGAGAGTCACGTACAACACGCGTGCTTCGATTCTCGACGGAACAACGGAAAAGAGAATTCCCAAGTACGGGGATTCCACTTTGAAAGTTGCTCGCTCGTGCCATCTTGGTTCTTCTTCCAACTGCATTAAGAGGCCTTTCTTTACCTTCCCCACGCGTCGAGAGGAGACTTCTTAAACGGTGTACGACACCGATGAAAAAATTAAATTATTTGCGTGCCACCGGTTTCGTAATATCTGCCTCTTACCGTGAAAGTTCGACTTTTCGTTTCGGTCTGAATACCAAGCATTGTGAAATCCAGTGACTAATCAGAATAATGTTCAATCTGTACCGAGGAAAATGTTTTTCAAGCTTTCATAAGTAAGCAATACGAAAATTGTAAATTAAAAACGATTTGAATATTCCTCTGCAAAATTTATTATATTTATTATTAATATTTTCCACTCGACTTCGACATCGTAAGTGCAAAGATAAGTCTGCACCGCCTCTACTTTCACTTTGAAATCGTATCTTCCGGGCCCTGAAATTAAAAAACCAAGTCTAGACGTTTAAAGCGGTCTGCGGGAGAAATAAGAAAGAAAACGCGATCCATCCTCACTGGATATCGGCGAAAAGATACGATCGTTCTCCCAGCTGCTTTTCTCCGTCTCATCACGTATTTCGAATGAAACGAAACGAGGATTTTCTGGCAATTAACGCCGGGCGCCGATACCTTCGGCAGGGCTTCGCGCCGCGAAACTACGTGTCTACCAGTGTGCAACGTGTTCCCACGATAATTGTAATGGATCGCCGAGCGAAACGCCATTATAGTAGTTTACCGTCCACGTGGCGAACGTCGCGTCTCGTCAGGGCTCCACGTTCCGCTCTATAATACGATCGATCGAACGGAAAATTTAAATTCACTGGGATTTTCGGTGTGCACGTGGAACGTGGAAAGTAGACGAAAAAAAAGAGAATATTTGTCGCGAAATAAAAGGGGATAACGGAAAAAGGAAATAATTCCGATCGAGGACGATCGTTCACGCGGTTCATTCGAGTTGATGTAGCCAGCGTTTCCCGTCACTCGCATCTACTTTTAATAGAAATAACATGGCCAATTGATCAAACAGTGACCGATCAGCCGTGATACCGTGTGCAACAACAACGCGGGGGCCGATGGCCGGGGAGGGGGGGGGGGTTTGGAGTAGGCTGGAGGGTGGGCAGGACGCGAGAGAGAAGAAAAAAAAATTCCGAGGGACAGAGGAATACGGGAAACAGAGATCATCGCTCATCGAGATATCGTTCACGGCTGTGGTCGCAACAGCGAGTCTAATGGAAGAGCACGGGAACAAAACGCGAGCCGCGAACAATGCGCCGAAAAAAAGAGTACTCTTTCGCATTGAAAAAAGTGGGCGGAGGGGATCGATAGGCGCGTCATCCGACGTGCCGTAGGTCCACCGGCCGCCGGTCGCTGGGTATTTCTTTGATACCTCTTCGAATTTGACCGCGCTACGAATAGGTACGATACGTCCCAGATTCGCGTCTACGAAATCGGGTATTATTAGATTCATGGCAAACCAACTGTGTGATTAAGTCGATATTACATTACGTATGATATCTACGAGTACATCTAAGTAAGTAAGGTAAATGTCCCGATTTCTACTCGGCTGAGCATGACTTCGTTATCGACTCAACATAAAAAAACAATATTCAACAATTTATAATGAAAATGTTGGGATATGCGAACGTAGCCTCGGGTCACTCGACGCTACTCCTTGTTTGCCGACTAATCAATTTCCTAACGGCACGCTCATTCATCGTTAGCACAGTTATTAATTGTATCTCAACGTACAAACATCTCGTTTGTGTAATAAATATACGTTCAATATTTGTTCAATAAATTACAAGAGTCCTTCCATAATTCCCATGACAAACTGTACACTCGGACCCAACAAGAAACTGTCTTCACGCGTGGAATTTAAAGATTGCATTCAATATCCTTTGACTAGTAGGGCAACAACTATTTTAATAAGCTATAAAAGTTTTATGCTGAACGCGGACACTCATTTGACCTCCAATTTCTTTTAAAATGACTACGCAAACAGTTAGAAGCGCGTATAACAGCATATGCATAAATCTACCCAGAGCGATTCTCAAAATACGCATACCGAAGCATCGCGGGACCATAAATTCGAACTATCTAAATCGCGACATGAATTCATAACGAAACGAAGCGACACGGTGCGAGAGTAAAAAAAGAGTAGCTGGTCGCGTATTGGGGCTAGGGAAATACACATGCGAGAGAGAGAAAAGAATCAACAATCACTATGTACGTAATTTGCGGCGGCGCGGAAACTAGGCAACAAATAAACGTCGCGGTATGAAAAATACCAGAGTACAAAGTGCGTGAAAGATAAACAGAAGAGCGTTTTGTAATGACCACGGTGTGGCAGTGGTGCGCGTGCGGCGTGAACGCCGGGCTGTGCGCGCGCGCCATCGAATTGTGCCGGATACAGACTGGAAAAAAGATCGACGAAACGTAGGTGAGAAAGACGAAAAACGAAAGAGAGACGCAGAGGGGAAAAAACGATGATGATATTGGCGCATGGTCGGACATTCGCGGGTCTAGCGAAAAATCAACTTTCCCATTCCGGATCAGCCGGGACTGAATCGTTCACGCACGATTTTTTCCAATCGTTGTTGACTGCTCTTCGACTCGCTACGTGTTACGCAAACACGCGCCCCGAACCGTGTTAAAATCGTTGCCCACGCGTAATTTTTGAAACAGAACTGTACTGGGAATGCCAACTTCAATCATGTATACATACATATATTTCAGGTAACCGAATGTAACCCTAGCGAATAAAAAGTGCAGAAACACCTAAAGAGTTTTAAGTTCCAAAGGACGAGGGTTTATTAAAACGATACACTCAGCCAATTATATTAATTAATTTAACAACTTTTGGACGTGGTCACATTAATTCCATACACAAGGAAATAATGTAATTTTAATGTGTTCAATTATTTTACGACGAATCAACAGCTTTAAACGAGACGTTAAATACTTAAGGGATCTCAACAACGAGCATTGTGGGCTTGCTCAAATGAGACTAATGTGGAACATTAAAGCAAGTGTAATTGGATTTAGGATGAGTGGATGGTTTTCTTCTGTGTCACTTTTGAGGGTTTGTTTCATTAGATTAATTGCTTTATATTTTCTCCCCTCGGTTTAGCTTGATGTGGTTCCTTGATTCCGAGTATAAGGACTTTAGACTGTCTCGTTCGTAGGTACACGAATTTCATTTGATTTTCAGGCAAGATATAAACTAGCAAAATACGATGTTTTATAAAATTTTAATAAATCATATTTCGAAAACTGAAAATTAACACT